ACGGAGAAGAGAAATAAGTAGTGAAATTTATATTTAAAAAAAATTTAAAAGGATTTAAATTGCAAAGTGTAGTTTTGGGGATTTAATCGGTATTTTGTTAGCGTATTTTACCTATATCTTTTTGGATTTAGACAATGTAACTTTTTTGGATTTAGACAATGTAATTTACTGTGTTCTATCTTATTGTAGTTGGTCATTTACTTTACCTCCAATATTAACAAATTAGGCTTATCACATGGGTTAAATCCTATAGGGGTTAACATGTTTAATTTTTAAAAATAGAAATGCATTATTTTGTTTTGTTTATATAAGACGTGAGCATTTTGATTTAAGAATATAAAAAAGTGCAACTGTAATAAAAACAAGTAATTTATTCGAAAGTTATTAGATTATACAAACATTAAGTCTTTGTTGTGTTTGAGATAGTATTTTAAGAAGAAATCAATGTGCAATGAGCATTGTATTTTTCAGGTTTTATTCTCTTTTTCACTTTGGGTGCGTTGAAAATTTGTACTTAAAAGATTAATTGTTGTCAAGGTTAAAGTTTTTTCTCTATCAATGTTAGAGTGATTGAATGCATTTTGTTTTTAGGACAACTCGTGTCATATTCTCACAGTTAGCTAGGTTAAAGTTTTCAATCAACCAATCAAGCAGTTAATCTTCATTTTCAAATTACAACGGATGAAAATCATTTTCGCCTCATTTGTTTATACTTTACGCAGATCTGAATCTTAATTATTCAGATACCATACATTAAGTACATTTGTTTTTAAATTTTGAATCTTAATCATTCAGATATTAATCATTAAGTTTGTTTGTTTTTTTAACTTCACATTTAATGGGTCTTATTATGTCTCCGTGATTAAGATATATAACAAAAACTTAATTTCATCGAGATGTTATCATTCACGTTCATTATTAATTGTCACCACCTCTTGATATTATCAACTATTACCATGCCACCCACCAGCACCTCCTCATCCTCCTCAATCACAGCCGTCACCATTGTCGACAACCACCACCCACACCCACCACTATCATTCTCAATCACAACCACAAAACCACCCCATCATCATCAACAACTATAGTCGGCATTGCCCATCGTTATAAACTACTACCACCTTCCTCAATCACAACCACCCGCCATTATTAATTATTACCACTTACCACCATCATTCTCAACCATAATTGACATCGCTATCAATTATCACTAGCTACTACTCAGAACCACCACCATCAACCAAAATCATCACCAACCACCGCATCTAGTCAACGTTCACACGTACCACCGTTAACCATCAACGCCACTAACTACCTTATTTTTAAAAAACATATATATTATTGATAGAATATTAGATTAATTAGTATTTTATTTGAATTTTATATTTATTAATTTTCAAATAAATATAAATTTTATACATTTAGATGTTAAAAAACAAACAATCTTAATCATTTAGTATTCAGATCTTAATACAAATCTTAATATTCAAATATGTATTCAGATTCAGATGTCTTAATCTTAATGCACATCTTAATATTCATATGTGTATTTAGATTCAGACGTCTTAATCTTTAAAAAAACAAATGAGTTTGATCCCAAGTTTGTCTTAAAAATCAAATTCCTCCTCTAACGTTAAACAATAAACATGCTGCTCCTCGTATCATATGCATTGTTTATTTTACCCTTGACATTTTCAATTGCTTCTCTACGCATATAAATTTTTTGTTATATTTAAATTGGTAAAATACTTAGCTAAATATCTTATTTTGAATTTTATAATTAAAGCTCAATAAAATTTAACTAGACTAGTACTTTTATAAATTTGTAACAAAATTCATCGTTACTCCTTTTTATTGTTAGTTTAATGTTAAGTATATGTTTAAGTTTTATTTCCCCCTTTATTATATATATACACATACATAATTATGAATTTTTATTTTTATTAACTAAATATATTTTAAATTGTAATTTAAAGAACATCCAAGGTATAAATATGTAATTTTTTAGGAATTTATTATAAATTTAACTTTATTTTTATATTACTGCGCCACATTTTATTTGATTGATATTAACAAGAGCTTTTACTCCAATATTTTAATTCTGCCCATTTCTTTCATTATTCAATTTCAATAAATTATGAGTATATGATTGATTATCATATTTAAATTTTTATTTTTTTTAAAAATGATTTTCACTATAAGTAAATTCATAACATAAATTAAGAAAAATATCATGATGTTAAAAAAGTAAAAAAAAAAAAAATATCAACCAAGGCTGATAAATATGAGGATAAAATGGGCATTTTAAAAATATAATTGAGTTTCAAGGAGCAGAATATCTATTGTTTAATGTTGGAGGAGGAGTTTGATTTTTAAGATGAAGTTGGGGTATCAAAATGATTTTCACCCATTTACAACTAAAGTATTCAATTCAATCACTTAACTTTTAATTTTCAAGTTAACTAAGCGTTCATAAGAAGAGTAAATTTTACCTGTTCGGTTAAATTTTTTTCAAAACAATAATCTATCACCTCTTCAATTAAAAAGTGAAGTCAACGAGAAAAACAAAATACTCATTGTCAAGGTTCTCAAAAGGATTAAAAATGACCAGCAATTTATGGTTTAGTATACTAGTACTTTTTTCAATAATAAAAAAGATTTACTCAAAAGTATTAACTAAAATTTGGAAAACTCGTCTTGCTTGATGGGCCTAGTTCTCATATGTTTATTAGACTTTACTTATAATTACATTTATGGAAAAGTCATTTTATTAGTCAATGTTGTTTCATTAAGGATCTTTTTTTTATTCATGTCATTCTACTAATTAATTTATCAAAAAAAAAATATCTAATCAATTATTATTTTTAAATTAAATTTGACAACATTAGATGTTAAAAATTTATTATTGTATTAAACGTTTAGATATTTGATGCTCTATTTCGTTCAAAAAGCGAAAGCGATATTCTTCAAATTTTCAAGTTGTTAAAGTTTTAAACATTTAAATACAATACTATTAGATAATATTTCCTTTTTTGAAAATATAAAATATATTATTATTATGTATTATAATTGAGGATCATTATACTAGAATATGGAGCTTGTAATTCGTTTGCGGGAGTGGAGATCGATAACATGATTATAAAGGAGCTTATCTTTCTGTTAATCAAATTCCATGTGCATTTAACTATAGATATGTATGTCATTTTAGCCGTATTTGTCACAGGGCAGATGTTCAGAGGAGTCCATTTCATGCATATATTTTTTTCTTTTTTCGTCTTCTTGGTCCTCTTTCCTTTTTAATTTTTATTACTATATAATTTCTTGATCCAATGGTACATATATGCAATAATGGTAGGCTGTTAAATGAATGTTTATTCTCCAATCTGCTTTTCATTAATTGACACATGGTTCGAAACTCAGTGGATAAAAAGCATGTCCGTTTACTCTTTTTCGTTTAAATACCAAATATTTTGTCCGCGACAGGGTTCCAACTCGTGATGTAAGCCTAATCCATACATCACGTGTCACTTGACGTCGTCTTTTTCATTTTATACATTTGAGAAATGGGTATAGAGTAAAGACTTAAAATTTGTCACGATGATCACAATCAAACTGATCCGAGTTCTCATTTTGCTTCTTGCTTTTAATTCTGTCTGTGAATAATCGACTAGCAAACTTTTCAGGAGTACAATAATATCAGGAACACAAGCAAAGTAAGACCTGCTAACTTAACTTGGATTGGAAACAAATTAGGACAGCTTGCTCTCCTTGTTGGAGAATAGGGAATGTGAATGCTAAAAATCCGACAATCACAAAGAATGGGCACTAGCAGCATAAATACGAGAAAAATCGTAAATAAAGATACCAAAATAGTAAAGAAAGCTATTTAGCTTACTATATAGAATATTAGAGGCGTCAACTTGGGCCACCATAAAAAAAATTATATTGTCAAATCATATATTTATCTAAAGTGTGGTGCACTCATACTCTTAAAATCGTAGAAACGTCTCTGTTATATGCGGCCCTGCTGTCAGGGGTGGAGCTAGCCCTTCGGATACGGGTTCGGTTGAACCTAGTAACTTTTGTCCAAATCTTGTATTTGTCTTAAAAAATTATTGAATTATGTACAAACTGTTGATTAAGAACCCAGTAACTTAAAAGAATTAAAATACCGAACCCCAAGTTTCAAATTCTGGCTCCGCCTGAGCCTGCTGTCAACATCACATACAACAGCGAATACGTTACATTATATAGATATTTGAACGTTCTCTGTCGTTATAAACCAGAATAAGACAGACTTCTCAGTTCTCACTAGTGAGAATCAAAGTTTGTCAATGAGACAGACTATCATTCCTAAGAAGACTTTGAGCAGTAGCTTTTGACTTAGTTTGGTTTATAGTGCTTGTTTCTTCCTCTCATCTTCTTCTGAGGAAAAATAGTGAGATGAATGTACTAAGATTTATAGTCATTTTCATAATTGCTTGACTTCTGACCCATAAGTTGCTCCACCCAACAGGTTATTAGTCCATGCAATCATCAAACACGCTGAAAAGATTATTAAGAAATGTTTTAGTTTCAAAGTTGACCAAATCAAAGCTTAGATTATGGTAACTTACTAATTGTTTACATTTCTTCACGAGTTGTAGTTGTAATGAAAATAGTTTAAAAAGTTGTTTTTACCAGCTTAAACGGCTTTCATTTAACTATTACTCTCTTTATTAGTCAAGTTGTCGCCATGTGACTAGGAGTTCACGTGTTTGAGCCGTGAAAACATACTCTTGCAGAAATATAGTGTAAGGCTACGTACAGACCTTTGTAGTCCAATCCTTACCCGGACCCGCGCATAGCGGGAGATTAGTACACCAGGCTGCTCTTAGTCATAGCTTCAAAATGCATTCCCACATGCAAGCCGGCAGTTGTCTCTTCTTGCTTTGTTATATACTTATATGTTATAACTTGAATTGCTCCTGAAATTTTCCTACTCACCAATTGCTGCAGGCATGAAGTCTTTTAATGCTTTCCTTTGTCTTATGCTTTCTTGCTTATTATGTGTTGTTTCTACAGTTGCATCTTCCAAACTTGCTGGAAATGAAACTGATAGATTAGCCCTTCTCAGCATCAAAGGACAAATAACTTATGATCCTTTTGGTGTTATGTATTCTTGGAACGATTCATTCCATCATTGCAGCTGGCAAGGCGTTACATGTAGCAAGCGACATCAAAGGGTGACTTTGCTGGATTTAAGCTCCAAACAGCTTGTAGGAACAATAGTTCCTCATATAGGAAATATGAGTTTTCTTAGAAAACTAACTCTTCGAAATAACACCATCAACGGTGAGATACCACAGGAAATCGGAAGATTATTCAGGTTACAGAACTTAGAGCTCGCGAACAACTCATTTACTGGTGAAATTCCAGTGGAACTTTCAAATTGCTCTAGGCTCATATATCTTGATTTGGATGGTAACAGACTGACCGGGAAAATCCCTGTGGAGCTTGGTTTGTATTTAAGAAATCTTCAGGTACTTTTTCTTAGATCAAATAATTTAACAGGAGAGTTGCCATATTCTTTAGGTAATCTTTCATCTCTAATTGCCTTAGCAGCACCAGAGAATAGATTAGAAGGAAGTATACCATATTCATTAGGCCAATTGACTAACTTGAGCTATATTTCTCTTGGTGCTAATATGATTTCTGGTGATATTCCCATTTCACTCTTCAACTTATCATCTCTTTATCATTTTGCTGCTCCAGTTAACCAACTTAAAGGAAGTCTTCCTATAGATATTGGATCGACTCTTCCAAGTCTTCGCTTACTTTATTTGCACTCGAACTTATTGAATGGAGTGGTTCCAAGTTCCATTTCTAATTTAACGAGACTTGAAATTATCTCATTATCAAGAAACCAGTTGTCCGGGAAAATCCCTTCTCTGGAAAATCTCCATAACCTTCGGGGACTAGGAATGCATTTCAATAATCTTGGAACCGGGAGAGAAGATGACATGGATTTCTTTTCTTCCTTGGTTAACATTACCAGTTTTCGAGAACTGAGTTTGAGTGTGAATAATATAGGAGGCCAGTTGCCTAAGAATATTGGCAACTTCTCAACCAAGTTTAGATCTATTGGTTTTGCTAGGAACAAACTATTCGGACGAATACCTGATGGATTTGTAAGTCTCAGCAACATGGAAATAGTAAGTTTGGAGTATAACCAATTGACTGGTGAATTTCCAGTTAATCTTGGCAAACTTCAAAAGCTCAAGTATTTCTATGTTAATGGAAACAAACTTTCTGGAAAAATCCCTTCTTCCATTGGAAACTTGACATCCTTGTATGGACTTAATCTAGCTCAGAACAATTTAGAAGGGACAATTCCTTCAGTTCTTGGAAATTGCCAGTTGTTGCAAATGTTGTATCTTTCTGGAAACAGACTCAGCGGCGCAATACCAAAAGAGGTCCTCAGTATCTCAGCCTTGTCAATCCAACTAGACCTGTCCGGAAATCAGTTAAGTGGCACTCTTCCCCTTGAAATAGGAAGTTTAGTCAATCTCGGGTATCTTGATATCTCCGATAACAAGTTATCTGGAAAACTTCCTAGCACTTTAGGAAGTTGCATTAGGTTGGAAAATCTCTATGTTCAAGGTAACATGTTTGAAGGTGTGATCCCGTCGCCTTTAAGCTCCTTGAAAGGGCTTGCATATTTGGACTTTTCGCGTAATAATTTCTCTGGTGTTATTCCTAAGTACTTTGAAACTTTTTCATCCTTGAAAAGCTTAAACATGTCGTTTAATAATTTTGAGGGTGAAGTACCCCAAGGGGGAGTTTTCAGTAATGCAAGTGGAGCAATAATCAGCGGAAACAGAAATCTTTGTGGAGGTTCTCAAGTGCTAAAGCTACCACAATGTAAAGATTCAATGCCAAAGAAGGGAAGATTATCACCAACTCTAAAGATAATTATTTCTGTTGCTTGTAGTTTATTTGGAGTAATGCTAGTTTTGGTAGGCGTAGTTTTCTGTATTTTAAGGAGGAAGAAACATAGCGCTTCACCCTATTTACCAGATGATTCATTTTTGAAAATCTCCTATGGTGAACTGCTGAAAGCAACCAATGGATTCTCTTCAGAAAATCTCATTGGTAAGGGTGGTTTTGGTTGTGTATACAAAGGAATTCTTGGTTCAGATGAGAAAAATGTCGCGATCAAAGTACTTGATTTGCAGCATAGAGGAGCTTTAAAGAGCTTTATTGCAGAATGTGAAGTTCTAAAGAACCTTAGGCATAGAAATCTTGTCAAGTTAGTAACTGCATGTTCAGGTACTGATTTTCAGGGCAATGATTTTAAGGCCCTGATTTACGAGTTCATGGTTAACGGTAGCCTGGACGATTGGCTGCATTCATTTTCCATTGATGGAAGTCTGCACGTACTACATCTAGATCTTTATCAGAGAGTAAATGTTGCAATTGATATTGCTTTCGCGCTAGAGTATCTTCATCATGGAAGCCAAATACCAGTTGTTCATTGTGATTTGAAGCCGAGCAATGTCTTACTAGACATGGACATGACTGCCCGTGTTGGCGATTTTGGTATGTCAAGGTTCCTCCAAGAAACAGCTCAGCAAACTTCACCAAGAAAAACTAGCACTATTGGTATTAAAGGATCAATTGGCTATGCAGCTCCAGGTAACTATTTTAATCATTCTTATTGTAAATTTTACACAACTCAATCAGGGGCGGCTCAAGCACATACGGGGCCTAAAGCCAAAGTTTAGTACGAGACCTAAATTTTTTAAAAAAAGTTATAAGATATGTGTTTTATTTGAAGTCTATTCTTCTAACTTTTTGAGGTATAAAGTTGTTAATAATTTTATTTATAATCGATTTTCTCTAATAATTCTTGCTCGATTGATAATATAGCCAACTTATCTAATCTTTCTTGAGATATTGTTAATCTTAGATAAGATTTTACAAAGCAATAAAAGTATAGAACTATTAGAAGCTTAAAAGTATTGCTGAACACTTGAACTAGTGAAATCTTGGAGAAAGAAGGCGAGTAATAATATCAAAGAGAAACACAAAAAATATGTAGGGTTTTCGAAAATACGGAGAGATTGAAAAAAAAGAAAGATTAACTTGGACAAATTAAGGAAGAGAGCAAATTTTTTAATGAAGGAATAAAAAATGAAAAACTAAAATTTATGAAAACTATTCATCTACACATTTTTAAGTAAATCAAATTATTATTTTATATATATATCTAAAAAGTTTTTTCCTTTATATTAAAAAATCTAGTTTTGTATTAAAAATACTAAATATTATTTTTTTAAATACCTATGAGCCTATTATTTTTAAAAAAAATGGGCCCCCTAAATTTGGGGGCCTGAGGCACACGCCTTACTCTACATAAGGTTGGAGCCGGCCCTGAACTCAACACACAGTTGACTGGTCGGCCAAAAAATAATTACATCTGCTAGTCAAATATACAAAAAATATACATTGATTACGTATAAAATATGTATATTGTACATTAACAGTAGTTTCCCTTTAATTTTCTTGGATGCACTTAGGCAATAATTACAAAGAGGCTGTCTTTTGATATGACATTACTGAAATATTTGCAGAATATGGAATGGGAAGTGAAGTGTCAACTTTAGGTGACATATACAGCTATGGCATTATCATATTGGAGATGATTACAGGGAAAAAGCCGACAGACGACGCCTTTTCAAATGGATTGAACCTTCACAACTATGTTAAAATGGCTTTCTCTGCTGGTAGAGTTATAGAAATTGTTGATCCAATGATTTGCCACAACTTGCAAGAAGAGGAGACCACCAACACTATTGCTGAAAGGAAAACCAAAGATTACATTAGAGAGTGCTTAATTTTTATGTGTAAAATTGGGATTGCTTGCACTATGGAATCACCAAAAGAAAGAATGGGACTTAGTGATGTTGTTAAAGAGTTGCAGTTAGTCAAAGAAACTTTATCTAAATGTGATCGGACATTATGATCATTTAAGTGCACTTTATTTGAAGTATATGTAAATGTATTCAAGCTGCTTCTTTAGAGGGTAAAATATGTATCTGGCCACCGAAAGTTTGAGAAATCTAGTTGAGTAACCTTCTGAATACTATAGAAATAGTTAAGTGACTTTTCAGTTACAAACAAAAGAAACATGACTTTACTAGATAATTTCAAATAGTTGAATGACCATTTGAGTAATGGACTCATACAACTCCGCAACATCATCATATCATAAGATATAATAAGTAGTAAGATCCAAAGTGAAAGTTGAATTACTAAATTGTCCTATAAAAGCTAAATGAATTTCTTTACCCTTCAAGCAAACACTACTAAAGTAAATTGTTTTGTATAAAGATGGAATTACTCATTCTAATAAAGTTTTAAAAAATGGAGAATTTAAGGAGTTGTATTGAATAACTCAATAATATGTTAAATTCATTTGGCTAATTTAATACAAGCCAAATTCATCTACTAAATGCAAATTATCACTAATTACCCATTCAATATATATGAAGTTTATTTAGCATATATTGGCGATAGAGTTTTTTTTTCCGGTCAACCGACGAAATTACTTTATATTAAAGACAGTTAAAATTACATGGAGCATTGGGCCTGCTTTGCCGCGGGTTACAAAGAGAAGATGTAAGTAAGTCGCTGGGTTGATTCATATGAGAGTCCATACTATTACATCCAGTGGATGGTGCATCTAAACAAAAAAGAAATAGGAATGATTGGTGCAGAACTAGTAGTTTTTCTTAGGTCGACAATGTCGTTTTGATCTGCACTTAATTCGTTTAAAAAAAAGGTTGGCGGTTGGACTAGTAGATTCAGGTTTTCTTCCATTTCCATAGTTGTTCTATATTGTGCTAACCTATAAGCAACAAGGTTCTGCTCCCTGTATGTATGCATAATGCATGGTCTACCCAGTTGGCGGAGCAAGTACCCGCATTCAAACTATATAGATGAGTAGTGCATGTTGTGGTTTTGTAGCATAGATATTACCTCTATAGAGTCCATATTAATTTTCAGTGGTGTTACTTTGTGTCTCCAAGAAATTTGTAATCCTTGTAGCAAAGTACACAGTTCCGTTGAAGTGGAGTCTCCCGTTGGCCTGCTTCCAGTATACCTTAGTATCCAATTGCTTGTTGAATTGCGGAAGACCCCTCCCAATCCATATTTAGGAGGCGTGCCAGTGGAGGAGTCATCAGTATTAAGCTTAATGGTTCCTCCAGTGAGTGGTTCCCATTTGACGTACATTGACTTAACTTATAGTCGTGTAGCATCCTTTTGGATTATATAGTGGTATTCTACCGCTTGAGATATGATATGTTGAAAGGTAGGATTTCTGTCAATATTTTCAAAAATCTTTTTATTGCATCAGTGCCAAATATACCGTAGGGCATACGGTAAGAGTATTTTGGCTGGGATTTGAGATGGCATTTGTTGGGTGGTATAGATGAGTGATAAGTGGGGATTTTGACTAGTTATTAGCGCCTTTTAGCTTTTATTTTAGTCTAAAAGTATTGAATTGTATTCCCGAAACTAATGAAATGTGCAAAATTATTGGAATGCTGGATGTTGGACTCCCGAGATGAAATCCGACTAAAAAATGAGTAGTATAAACACAAGGCAGTAAAAGGCACAAAAGCTTACAATGTGCGGTCCGCAGAATTTCATCCGCTGCCGCAATCAAAGAAGAAAAACTCAACAAACGTTTGAGCAAATTGCGGATCGCACATGAATTGTGCGGCCGCAAAAGCTGGGCTAGGATCCAAGATCAGAGAGATGACAAAAAGCCAAGTCCAGAGTTTCCTCAAATTGCGGTCCGCACAAAATTTGTGCGGCCGCAGAAGATTATCTTGCGGTTGCAATCATACTATTGCGGACCGCAAAAGAGTACCTTGCGGCCGCAGTGCTAAAGCTGTGAACCGCAGAAATATTGCCCCACGGCCGCAGTTCAGAATTGTGCGACCGCAGAATTCCAGCTCCTGCCGGATGAAGAATTGTGCGGACCGCACATGGAATTGTGCAGTCGCAGAACCTCCCGAAGGGCATTTTTGTACGAAATTTCTAGCCTTGTATAAATAAACGAGTTTCACAAAATTAGGTCAAGTTTTTACATCGGCAAGTACTGTAGCCGTTTTTCTTTGCCTCTTTTGGAAGTTTACTATATTTTGGTGTATTTTACAATAGATTTTATTATTTTAAGCTTACAATATGAGTTTAATTAGTCTGTCTTCTTCTTTTTCTTCAAACCCAAGCATGAATAGCTAAATTTTTACTAAGGTTATGATCCAACCCTAGTATGTAAACCGTATGGGTATCTAATTTGCTGCTTGTTTATGATTTGGTATTTATTATTTAGTTCAGTTCATGCTTTAATTTGTGGAATTAATAGTTGCAAATATTAGTTCATGCCTATTTGACTTAGTCTCTTCTTGAGAAAGAGAAACTTAGTCTAGAAAAACTTGGCTAATAAGGAATTGGATCAATCGAGAGATTGATTAACCCAATTAAAGGGTTCAACCTAGAGATAGTAATAACTCGACTTGAGCATTTATCACTTGTTTTGTGTGATACCCATTTGGTCTTGAGAAAGCCAAAATGGCAAAATGGCATAATCAAGGCAATTTAAATTCTAACAACCATGATAATTGAAGTGGTGGAAACAATCAAGGGAATTGGCATAACAACAATAATCAAGGAAATTGGAATGGCAATAATCAAGGAAATTGGGGAGGTAACAGTCAAGGTGGATGGAACAATAATCAAGGCAATCGGGAATCGGGTTTTCAAAGGCCCCAGATGTATCGACAACCGAAAACCTCATCTCCTTACCCTTCCCAATGGTCTTAGCTCTTCCAACAATGAAATGGGGCATATTGAGAACATGTTCAAGCAAATGATGGACAAGAATGTCGATTTTGATGTCCAACTTGCCTCACACAACACATCGATCCGCAACTTAGAAGTTCAAATGGGGCAAATCTCTCAAGCTCTAAATTCCTATCCTAAGGGGGCACTACTAAGTGATGCGGTGGTGAACCCAAAGGGTAGGAACAACACGGGGCATGCCATGGCCATTACTACAAGAAATGGAAGAGGTGGGAATGCACCAACCTCAAGTCAAAGGCAACTTGTGGATGATGAGCAAGTGGTACAAGAAGAAGAGGTACCGAGCAATGTGATGCAATCAAATGATGAAGTTCGAATTGATATTGATGACAATGTGGAAGAGACTCTAGAGGAGGTGAACCCGTCTAGGGATCATATTATTGACATACCAGAGCCGGTAGTGCAAAAGTCTAAGGCACCATTGCCTAAACCTCCACCTCCTTACCCTCAAAGGCTTGCCAAGAAAAATGGTGAGAATCAATTCAAAAAGTTCATTCAAATGATGAAGAGTCTCTCAATCAATGTGCCATTAGTGGAAGCTTTGGAACAAATGCTCGGTTATGCAAAGTTTGTGACGAAGAAGAGGCCAATGATTTTTGAAACTATCAAGGCCACTCATAAAGTAAGTGCAATTGTGCACTCAATGGCTCATAAATTGGAATATCACGGCGCTTTCACAATTCCTTGTACAATTGGAAGTACCGAGTTTGCTAAAGCTCTTTGTGATCTTGGGGCAAGTATCAATTTAATGCCCTATTCGGTTTTCAAGACGTTGAGAATTGGGTAACCAAGACCCACCTCTATGAGATTGCAAATGGCCGATCATACCATGAAGAGACCGTTGGGAGTGATTGAATATGTATTGGTTCGTGTTGATAAATTCATTCTTCCGGCGGATTTTGCCATTCTTGATTGTGAAGTGGATTATGAGGTGTCTATTATTCTTGGAAGACCTTTCCTTTCTACGGGGAAGGATCTTTGTGATGTGGAAGCCGAAGAACTCAATTTTCGGGTGGGTGGTGAAAAAATAGTATTCCATGTGTGCAAATCCATACGGCAACCAAATAGCAACGAGGTGTGTTCTTTTGTGTACTTGGTGACCGATGTTATTGTTGATGATACAAGTGCCACGATCAATGTTGGTGATATGTTGGAGGCCATCTTGCTTAACTTTGATTATGAAGAGATGGATGGCTTCATGAAATATGTGAACTCTTTGCAAGGAATGGGGTCGTACAATTATGCACCCCAGAAACTATCCTTGGATATTGAAAATAGAAAAACTCCTCCTACAAAGCCTTCCATTGAAAAGCCTCCTACCTTGGAGTTGAAGCCATTGCCTCTACATCTTCGGTATGAATTTCTTGGCCCTTGTTCTACTTTGCCGGTTATTCTTTCCTATTGTTTGACTAACGTGCAGGTAGATTCTACATTGGCGGTGCTATATAAGAGGAAGAAGGCCATTGGGTGGACATTAGCGGATATTCGGGGAATAAGCCCCGCATTTTGCATGAACAAGATCAACTTGGAGGAAGATGCCAAACCATTTATTGAACATCAAATGAGACTCAATGAGGATATGTATGAGGCCGTCAAAAAGGAGATCATCAAGTGGTTGGATGCCGGGGTTGTCTACCCCATTTCTGATAGTTCGTGGACTTCTCCAATTCAATGTATCTCAAAGAAGGGGGCATGACGGTGGTCACCAATGACAAGAATTAGTTGACACCTACAAGAATGGTGACCGGTTGGAGAGTGTGTATGGACTATCGCAAGTTCAACAAAGTCACAAGTAAGGATCATTTTCCACTTCCCTTACTTGACCAAATGCTTGATAGGTTGGCCGGCCATGCTTTCTATTACTTTCTAGATGGATATTCGGGCTACAACCAAATCCTTATTGCTCCGAAGGATCAAGATAAAACAACTTTTATATGTCCCAATGGTACTTTCGCCTTCAAGCGGATGCCATTTGGGTTATATAATGCACCAGTGACTTTTCAAAGGTATATGATGGCTATCTTTACGGACATGGTGGAGGACTACCTTGAAGTTTTCATGGATGACTTCTCGATGGTTGGGGATTCCTTTAATGATTGCTTGGCAAATTTGGATAAAGTATTGGCAAGATGTGAAAAAACGAATTTGGTGCTAAATTGGGAGAAGTGTCATTTCATGGTCGAGGAAGGCATTGTCCTTGGCCACAATATCTCAAAGAATGGCATTGAAGTCAACAAGGCAAAGATTGAGGTGATTTCTAAACTTCCACCTCCAACTTCGGTGAAAGGCGCGCGGAGTTTCTTAAGCCACGCGGGGTTTTACCAGCGCTTCATCAAGGATTTCTCTAAAGTGGTGAACCCGTTGTGCAAGTTTTAAGAGAAAGATGCTAAGTTTCACTTCAATGGTGATTGCATGAAAGCTTTCGAATTGTTAAAGTTTAAATTAACAACCACTCCCATTATCACCGCTCCTAATTGGAGTATTCCTTTTGAGCTCATGTGCGATGCTAGTGATGTTGCGGTTGGGGCTGTTTTGGGGCAACGCATCAACAAGATTTTTCATCCAGTCTACTATGCTAGTAAGACCATGAATGGTGCCCAAGTCAAGTATACCGTTACGAAGAAAGAGCTTCTTGCCATTGTGTTTGCAATTGAGAAGTTCTGCCCATACTTGATGGGTGCAAAAGTTATTGTCCACACGGATCATGCGGCACTTCGTTATCTTATGAGCAAGAAAGATTCCAAAGATCAGTTGATGAGATAGGTGCTTTTGTTGCAAGAGTTTGATATTGACATCTAAGATAGAAAATGAGTGAAAATCAAGTGGCAGAACACTTGTCTCGTTTGGAGGAAGAAGGGAGGCTGAATGATGGCCTTGAAATCAATAATTCCATCCCCGATGAGAAACTCTTGGCTATTTTAATGAAGGAGGTGCCATGGTTCGCGGATCTAGCTAATTTCCTTGTGTGTGAAATCATCCCAAATGAGTTTTCTTCAAACCAAATAAAGAAGCTCAAACGGGATTGTCAAGATTATTATTGGGATGAACCATACCTTTTTCGAATTTGTACGAATGGGGTAATTAGAAGATGTGTACCGGAAGAAGAGCAAAGTGACATTCTTAGGGATTGTCATTCTTTTCCATATGGTGGTCACCATGGTGGAGCAAAAAGGCGGCCAAAGTGCTAAGTTGCAGTTTCTATTGTCCCACTCTTTACAAGGATGCAAGTGACATGTTGAAAAGATGTGATGAATGTCAGCGGGCCGGTGGAATCTCGAAGAATAATGAAATGCCTCTCACTACCATTTTGGAGGTTGATATATTTGATGTGTGGGGTATTGATTTCATGGGTTCTTTTTTTGAGTTCTTGTGGAAACACCTACATCTTGGTCGCGGTAGATTATGTGTCTAAATGGGTTGAGCCATTGCTCTACCTAACAATGAAGGGAGAAGTATGGTGGCGTTCTTGAAGAAGAATATTTTCATAAGGTTTAGTACTCTGCGGGCTATCATAAACGATGGAGGGTCGCATTTTTTGCAACAAGGCTTTTGACACTTTACTTAGAAAGTATGGTGTTACACATAAATTTATGACTCCTTATCATACACAAGCTAGCGGTCAAGTGGAAGTCTCCAACCGGGAGATAAAGAATATCTTGTCCAAAACAGTGAATGCTAACCGGACGGATTGGTCCAAGAAGCTCGATGATGCATTATGGGCTTATGACTACTTTCAAAACTCCTATCGAAATGTCTCCATACCGGCTGGTGTTCGGAAAAGCTTGTCATCTTCAAGTAGAACTTGAGCACAAAGCCATGTGGGCTCTAAAGAAGTTGCATCTTGATTGGGATGTAGCCGCTAACTAGAGGGTTGCACATTTGAATGAATTGGATGAGTTCCGATACCATGCTTATGTAAGTTCGTCCTTGTACAAAGAAAATATGAAATATCTTCATGACAAGTACATTTGGAACAAAGAGTTCAAGGTGGGTGATCTTGTATTGTTGTTCAACTCACGGTTAA